TCCTTTTCCGAAGCTCGTTATCTTATACCAAGTTTACTAATTGGGGACCAGATCACCTGATAAGGGTCCGGTGGGCCACCACTCCCCACGTGAGCGTGGCTCGGCGGAAGGAGGTGCCAAGAATCAGTTCGTATTGATGGATCTGTTGGGAATTTATGCGATTAAGAGTACAGCCCACTAAATATTAAAGATAAAAATTAAGAATACTCTTATAAACGACGGAGGGCCATCACTCGGTCTCGTTGTGATGCTTTCCAGCCACGGATGGCTTATGGGTTCGAGTGTTTTTGAGTGGTAAGAGTTGTCTTGAATAGTCAGTGTTCGGAGTCGATTCTTTAGGTCAAACAGACGCCTGGTGGTCGTGTGGTGAGGGGGCGGTGCGCGTCATACGTATCAGTCGATCCCGTGGCGAATTGGTTCGGATGGCTGTTGATACGCTGTCGCAGTTCGGAACCCGGTCGGTAGGTGGCGCCCACAACTCGCTCGCAGCGTGCAGCTCTGGGTTGTCGCCGAATCGCGATGCTCACCACTCCGGTGGCAGCAGAGACCCCCGGTTCGGCAGAGGTTGACGAGCTGAAGATGAGTCGAGCCGACCCGCTGGTCGCAACTCGCTCCTGAGTCGACCCTCCCGGTCGAGCTCGCTCCTGGGTCGACCCGCTGGTCGCCCTCGCTCCTGAGTCGACTCTCTGGTCGCACTCCTGAGTGGACCCACTGGTCGCACTCCTCCTGAGCCGACTCCCCCGGTCGCGCTCCTGAGTGGACCCTCTCGTCACACTCGTTCCTGAGTCGACCCTCCCGGTCGAGCTTCTGAGTGGACCCTCCCGTCGCACTGGTTTCCAATGCTCAGGATCCTTTACTTATGCCGAAAATTCCCCCTGGATCCCGCCCACAAGGCGGGGCTTCTTCCGATTTTTGCTGTGTCAGGATCTGTCCGTAGGCAGGTGTGTCCATGTGTCTGTCCGTATGTCCGTGTGTCCTTGTGTGCATCACTGACGGTATATTCGTTGTCACACTCCCTCCATAAAACCCACGAGCAAACAATCAGATGTTACAAATTGCCTCGAAGTCGTCTCTCTGTCTGGGTGCAATATTATCTCTTGTCTGGCCTTCTTCATGACCCAAAACACAGACGTTACAAATCGTCTCATAGGCGTCTTTGTTCGTGTTGCACAACCTGGAGGGAGGGGCAACACTCTCTCCGACCCGGCGCACAAAGAAATGGTTAAAAGTTTTAAGTTAACATTTGTCCCTTACTATTTCACAGTTATGATTCTGTATGTAACCTAAGGTCTGTCGTTTCCCATCGTGGTGCCTTGACTCAAGTGTAGGTGTTTCCCCGAGCGTATACACACTCCTATCCCGCGCTGCGGGGATACAAAGACGGCCGGGATCTCCCTTTCTCTCCGACCCTGGGTTTAACATCGTTTTTTTTATTATGTATTATATTCGACCTGGTTGTGATTCATCCCGTTATCCTGGCTTTTCCATAAGTTTTACTTTGTCTTTTCATGCATATACTTATTACTATTAATTTATTTCCGATATCTTAGGTTAAGGGGTAAGTTTCTTGATCCTAGGAATTCGTATTCCTTGGTGCCTGGATGGTTATATAAGCGGAATATAGTTTACGGTGAATAGCGTTAACATTGATGTCATGTGCGATATTATGTATTGTGATGTCTTTAACTTAACTTGTTTGTCAGGGCTTTACTGACACGAAGTTGCATTCATAGCCCGCAGTCTTTGCCCCACCCTATCTCTGCTCGCCGTTGTTGTTGCCTGCCGTTAATTCAAGGCCTCATTAATTTCCGTCCCTCCTGAGTAGGTGAGGGCGGTTGAACCTTGGAGTCAGTTCTGGTTTTTGTCTGCCTGCTTCTTCTTGTGTCCCCTGACCCCGGGAGTTATTATTCTACTTTATGGCCTGTCGAAGCCCCACTCGCTGTTGCTGGGCTGGTGTTGTTCCCGGCTTTTTGCTTACGTTTGCAGTTCGCCGTGCTCTTGATTTCCTTCCCTCTTCAACCTTATATTGACTATTCGCTCCTGTCTGGGTGCGATTCAATTTTGACTTAGGAAGGTTCTGATTGTCATATGCTTCGGGTCGAATTGTATAGAAAGTATTGAAGTATGGAAATAACATTTCATATTGACTTAATAATGGTGATGGTTCAGTAGGCGTAACTTGTGGCCTGGTTTAATTGGAGTGGGTGTGAATATCGATAACTTTAGCCTACCCTGTTGTTAAATTCCGACTTTAACGTTACTTTAATAGCAATACAGAATAATTGAGCTTTTTGTCTTAACTAGGCGAATGCGAACTTCTGGTGACCCCCGCAGCCTTGTTGTTCAG